CTATGAGTATGCCAAATCTTCCCACTTTCAATCATTTTCTTAAATGTATTTTAATATTTTATGTATAACGTACTTTAATTGATCATCCCATGGTCTTTACTTGGCTGTCACACTGTCAATTATCATCTACATATTATCTGCCACAAACGTACCATTGAAGTTCTGCCTTGTGACTCTGAACTTGGCCTTATAAGGGCAGACTTTTTGTTGTTAGGATGTAGGTTTTATCTAGAGGCTAAAAATACGCGACTCTTGGATGTTGGTGTCCGAGATAGCCTCTACCAGGCTTCAGAAGCGGCTGGAAAGGGTAGAAATTGGTCAAATAGACATGTAACATGCCAGGGGAGTTAGTCCGATAAAGGAATACAGTTCAGTGCCAGTTTTCGGGAGAGGCAAACTGCACTTAATAAGTCTCTTTGGTCAATTTCTACTCTTTCTAGCCGCTTCCGAAAGCCTGGTAAGGGCACTTTCCTACTACGTAGGCTGAATGAAGTTGATGTTGCCTAACATCAGGTTTGCGTACTTCGGTGCTGCTGGCGGCGTTCTTCATGCTGCTGGGGACCGGGATGAGGTGCTTCACACTGGAGGAACCTGTGGCTACATGGTAGTTGTCCCGCTACTTTTACGTATAACTATGTATTTTATGTAATCATAATAAAACAAAGTTTAACCAACCAACCAACCAACAAACAAACAAACTACAGCGGGGCACCGTTTTGTCTTTCCTGCAAATGCTGCCATGAGGATTGTAATTGAAAGCTAGACGAATAAAATCCAAGATCCAAGTCTAGAAACCATGACTTAACTCAGGCGCAGTACGTTCTAGCGACGTACCGAGTACTCACGTCAGCTGTATATATTCAAGGTCACGTGGCTGGTCATTTGCTCCTGGTGACTCTGCGGTCGGTGTGCAACCGAAAATTCGGGGAGAATTCCAAATCTAATACATCTTTTACTCAAAGAATAATCCATTATTTTACTTTTATGAAAAGATATTACATATATTTTATTGTGCACAGGTTGATCTATCTGGGCCAGTTTCTGAACGGTTGTGGCGCTCCTGTGTTGATGGCGGCCCCTCCCCTCATCTCAGCAACCTGGTTCCCACCAAAACAGAGAACCACGGCCACGGCCATCGCTGGTCTCCTTGGCAACGTGGGCTGTGCTCTCAGCTACGTGATTGGTCCGTTGGCCGTGTCCCAGCCGGGCGAACCGACCAATCACACGGGGAATTACAGCGACATCGATATCAGTAGTCTTGTTGAAATTACTGAGATCAGCCATGCCAACAACACAGGTACGAGACACAAAACGAAACACGTCTTATGCGTTTAACTTTGTAAAGTGGTCCAATTTCTCACGTTTTTTGTTTGTTTCTCTTTCATTTACCCAGGGTGGCCAATCTCAGGTTCCTTTTCACCCTATTTCGCACATTCTGTACACTGCTTGACAGTGCGGCCCTGGATTGGCCTTCAGTTGGAGACCGAATCATGTTCAATCTAAAGTGTTATCGTAGAACTCGTTGATCTAACTTAACTTGAATCTTGTATACACATACAGACATCAAGTCAATGGAGGCGGAGCAGATCATGCGACTGATGTACATCGGTAAGTGTGCATGGAAGTTTTGGAGTCCATACATCTCCGCATGTCTTATGAATATATATATTTTCCCGGCAGAAAAAAATTGGAAGGGGAAAGCCATTTGTCAGAAAGGTATTCTGATAGCCAAATGACGAAAACACAAGCCATATACATCTACATATCTTGAGTCTGAAATGTACGATTCCTTGTTGCAGAGTTTGGTTTGACGGCTGTGTTGTTCCTGGCCATCCTCGTGTACTACCCCGCCTGTCCCCCGTCTCCGCCCAGTCTGTCCGCCTCCATCAGCCGGCTCAACTTCACGTCAGGGGTGAAGGGTCTGCTGACGTATGTACCTTCCGTAGATACACTCTATTTCCTCCCTATTGTTATTTTTTTTCTTTCGCAGAAGAAAAACATTTTTTTCTCCGTTTCTTTTGTCCATCAACATTTTAACTGGCGCCGTGTTGGGTTATATTATGTAGCAAGTTGCAAGACAGAGTTGGAGGGGTGCTTGTTCACCATATGTATTTAAACTCTGAGTAAGACTAGTAGTTTTTTTAGGCTAGACCATTTGAAGGAAAACATTACAAATTTGCTTTGCTAGCGTTACCTTTCTGATATAATCATTTTATTTATTTTTCCTTGAAAACCTGTCAGGAATGGTTCGTTCTGGCTGGTATGCCTGTCGTACGGAATGGTGCAGGGCTCGATCGGCGGCTGGGGAAACATCCTGGACGTCAACGTGTCTCCGTACAACGTCACGCAGGTAACGCGTCAGGCCCTCGTCACAGATGACAGAGTTGAGGGGCTGGTCACCATTTATAGGAATGCATTTGTAAACAGAGCAGTAGTTTGTTGAACTAAACATCCCCTTTTCAAATTTGACATTTTGCATTTGTTTTGCGAACCCTTCCTAGTCTATGTACATTTCACTATGTCTGCACAGGTCCAGGCTGGTTGGGTGGGGTTTTATGGAAACCTGATCGGCTGCGCCTTCTCCTTCGTCTTCGCAAGGTACGTCACACGGAAAACGGAAATTTCATTTTCTTTTGCGTCTTTCTTTCTGTAGAACATAAACGGGGAGATTTTAAACCTACGTGAGGTGTGTAGAGTTGCTGTGGTTCATCTTAATAGTAATGAAATAAACCCCGTTTTGATTATATTTCCCAGACTGGGAGACTATTTTGCGGGTCACTTCAAGCTGATGCTGGTTCTGCTGGCGGTTCTCCAGGCCGCCACCATGCTGTGGTTCATTCTCATGGTCAACGTCAGCCTCATTCCCTTCAGCATGGGTACGTAAACCACGCCTTTCAAAAACAGCAGGGGCATGCTCCGGTGTACATGTACGTGTGCCAAGGCCTGGATATTTCTATCTGGAAGTTGGTGATTCACTTGAAATCACCCTGAAGGAGGCCTGGCGAACTCCCATTTCGAATACGCCACACAGTGATTTACATCAACCTCCTGACGGAGGCCTGGCGACCCCGTCTTGTATCAGCCAACGAAAGGGTATATCCTCCAAAAGGGGCAGTATAACCCCGACTGAGCGGTATATGTCACTACGTATATTATTGCAACATATATACATACAGAGGATCACAACAAATTGTTTGTTTATCTGTTTGGATTTCAGCGTCCCTGTACACAACCTTCGCCCTGACACAAGTGTGCCTCAGCGGGTCCGGGCCGATATATTACGAGATGTCGGTAGAGTTGACCTATCCTGTGGCGGAGGGCATCACCACCATCGTACTGACTCTGGTGTACTACATCTTCTGTCTACTGGTCCTGCTGCTTCCCATGGTCCCAGCTCTGGGTAAGGAAAATTATATATAGCTATGTACCTAATTCCAGCTAAAAAAAGAAGAACAACATCGGAAATACCCTCAAGTACCAGAGTTATCAACTTAGGATTTAGGTGTTCAAAAACTCGTGTTTTCCAATAACTATTTCAGAGTGGAGCTCACTGCCACCAACCACAGCTGGGCAACATCACTAGAAAGCTTTGAACTACTTTTGCAGTTAGATGTTGAAAGATTGGGAGAAACAGGTCCTTCGGTGTAATATAGCCAGCTACCGCCGGGCTGCGTGCTTGCAAAGCAGGTGCGTTACGCCGAAGGGCGGTTATACCAGCAATATCGATACAGATACAGAAACTGGTGTGTATCTGTATAGAAGCTGGTCTGCAATATGTAAACCTTCTGTGATTGCAGGAGTGGCGTGGTTGAACTGGGCCACCCTCGGCACGACGTTCGTGGTTCTGCCCATGTTGTGCTGCTTCAGGGAGAGGTACGGACGGCTGTCCATCGACGTGGCAGGCGTTAAGGAGCAGGGCGGAACTACGGACACTGTTAACTCATGATTTTGTCTGTGTGCAATACCAGTATCATTATCAGGGACTGTTTTGTAACTCGTATTTTTATTGTAAGCTGACTATAAACATCTAAAGCCTTAAACAACTGCTTCACAATTTATGAAGAAACACTGCAAGAGTCCTGTAACGTAAACATTATCATTAAACATTAACATTTAAGAATTGAATACGTAAATATTGGCCCAGAAACATGAAAGATAAGTTTTTTCTTCAGCAGCTACATCCTAATTGTATTATGTAACCACTAAAAGCCTGGAACACCTGTTTGTATGAATGTTTACATTGTTTAGGAAGAAACGCAGCAAAAGTATGCAGTCCCGAAACACGTAATTATCCCAAACTGCGGCTGCATTTGTCTCGGCGTGCGGTAACTAGGCAACCGCGTGTCGGAGGCTTGGGAAACATGCGCAGTAATCATTCGCAGTCCTGTCATATCTCACCCCTGTTGTTGCATATTCAACCCGTTGCCAGGCAACCGCCCGAATCTCCTACATAATTAAACATGGGGGAACAGGGTATGGAACGTCAGAATGCATTTGTCATATACCCGAGTTTCTGACAGCGTTGTCAATTCTCTTTCAAGTGTTGTCAATTCAAATCTCGTTTCAACAACAAAGCTGGGCTTAATACAGTCACACAAAGGAGGGACAGGTCATTTTATGTAGCCTCTACCAGACTTCGGGGATTGGCTGAATGAGTAGAAACTCGACAAAGTGACGCCAGGGTAGTTGGTCTGCTAAGGAGTAAGTTTGAACTGTGGACCAACTCCCCTGGCATGCATTTTTGCCGTCTACTTAGGGAAATTTTTCAGCCTCCTGAAGCCTGGTAGAGATTATGGTTTTGGCCATGATTCACAGTGTTGACGTTATTTTTTTCTGTGAAGTCTGTAAAATTTAAAAAATGGCTCCATACATGCCTATAACAAGAGCCTCTCCCATTTCTAAAAACACGAACAGGTTTATACTATCTATACCCCCCATTTCTAATACCCTAACATTAATTTAATAACGATCCAGCAAATCACAGGCATTGATATTTCCCGCACGAATACCCCTACATGTATCCACGCCAGGCGATGTCCCACGGGACTCGTCATTTCAAACAAAATACCAACAGCTTTAAAACTTTTGTCTCTAAACCAACAACACCTAAATAATTCATCAAACAATTCTTACTTCTTTGTGCAACATAGAGAACTCCTGGGGACTTTGAACGTAATGTATAGGTGCCCACTGATAATATATATTACATTTTGAAGTACTTTCTAGTAGCAGACGTTTTCCCGACCATTTTACGTAATCATCGGTCTTAAAGATGGTTGGAGATAGGAAATAGGAAAGTTTTCTAATCGGCAGCACGTATAAACGTACCCCTTTAAACTTGCTTTGAGTAAAATCAGAAAAATCAGCTGGTTTATAATGTTTTTTCGACTTTCTACGCCTACATCTGCTTTGACATTACAATATTTAATACACAATTGAATAGAGGACAGATACAGAACATATACATATACAGAAATGAAAAGAATGCAAGAAGGAATGAATGAAAGGATTCTGACGCTTAAGGGTAAACTTCCCAAGATATGAACAAGACCATTGGCGCCCCGTTCAGACAAATAGAATTAGGATAAAAATAATTAGAACATTATAAACCTCTTAGGGTCCTAACTCAACTACTTATCCATCCCCCCCCCCCCCCCCCCATGTTCCCACACGGTGATTATTCACACACGGATGAGCGCCGTGACTCAGGCGTCCTTCTAATCGCGTGCATCCGGCGGACACACAGAACAATTCCCGCCAATTTGACGCTGACTCGCCGCCATAGCCTTCAGAAACCTGCCGTGCGCTGTGCGGGCGGGTAACCCGGGGAGACGGTCGTGATGATACCGCGTCAGCCCCCGGGAGACGGAACAATGGCGTAACCTTGGCGTCCAACGTCGCGGGGTGACGGTTTCATCAAAACACACCCAGCCTTGGGGGTAACACTAGGCCCAGATTCCGGACAAACATAGATACAGAAAACAGAGTGTCAGGACTCAGGAAAAACTGTATCGCGCACAGCGCTGCTGTATTTCTATTTGCTGCTATCACAAAGGTATGTGTAGTTTTAAATTTAATTTTTTTCCCTCAATTTCTAAAAATTGACTTCAATTCGTTTTGCATCGTTAGTGAATTAGAATTATGTCGAATGACAGAAACTTAATTTTCGTTGTACGTTTTAGTTCAAGTTTGACTCCTTCTAGTCAAAGGTAGAGATTTAATAACATATTGTATATTTCCGTTATGATTGCCAATGATTATGTACAAGCCTATAATTTTGCTGTCACCCAGCTTTTTGGACAAAATCGCCATGTTGATGAATGTATTCGATGCACTGCTCTGCATACCAGATGTTTCGTACAGTTGTACATATATTTGGCCCATTGAGCTAAGTACAGGTCATAACAAAACAAACACTTTATATACATTCAATGTAGTATGGGTGAAAAATTTAGTATTTGAAGCCACTTCTTTGTAATGTAAAGATGGGAATATATATCAAGAACAGGTAGGTTCTGTTTTGCCAGGTTTATCAAAACGTATGGCAGATATATTAATTTGTCCGTTTTGCTTAAGTGTACACAGTGGGCAGTATGGATTGTGTTTATAAGTATAGTCTGTAACGTTAAATACTTTTAAAGCGTAGTATTCAAGGAAGAAAGTAGAAGATGAAACAACAAGGGATTGGGTTAAAACTAGAACGGTATAATCTATCTATTTTAAAATCTTATCTCAAGGTCCAATATTAGCTATTTCTAAACGTTTGTCCATTTTTGTTGGGCTACATACTAAATTGATATCACATTGGGTGCTAGTGTTCCTTAAATTTGTTATGAATCAAGTAATGTCTTTATGACTTCGTTTCCTCACTAACATTAACAATGTACTATGTGGCTCGACTTCACATCCACAAAACGGCACAAAATGCATCTTTTAAATCGTCGAAGGTAAAAAAAACATATATTGTATTCGATCATAAAACTAATATAGATGCGTGCAGACAATACAGAAAATTTATCAATTTGTTTTGTTGAATAGGCGGTTTATAGGATTAATATTTGATGATGTGATTAAACAAAGCGACCAATTGCCAAGAGACAACGCTAAACAAGAACACAATGTCATTATGTACCTTTCATCATTGAATGGATTAAGTATTATACAAATCAGTCTGAATTTTGTTGGTATTTACAAAAATTAGCTCTTAAAATTTACATACACGATCATAATCATATCGTCATTTATTAACAAAAAAGTCGTAAAAGAATGTTGATTAAAACATGAAAGTGCAAATATTTGACGGACATGTGGTTATTCTTTCATTGGCCGAACAGCTAATTGCTAGGCTATCATTGGTTAAACAGTTAAGATCGGTCTTTTGTCTATTTAACCGTAAACCCTGGAAACAGGAAATATGCATTTACCCTTGAAGAATGACAATGACCGTCGAACTTAAAGAGCAGCTAACATGCTGATGATTGGTTCAGTAAAACACCTCAAGGTCACGCCAGTGTCCCCTTGAGGTCATGAATAGGTGTTTGGATCAAGAATCACATTCAGAGCGGCCGAAACACTAACATTGACAATCAAAACAGACTTTAGGGTAGCCAGGGGAATTAGATGTGTATAAAAGTGTGACGTTAATCCTCAATTCAGATACACCTTGTCAATTTAAAAAGATATTCTAAAATGTGTAATGACGTTTAAAATTTTTGCAAATTTTTCAAAAGATATTCGTATTTATTCGTATATATTCGTACATTTGTAATGATTTTTTAAAAATTTTTGTCCAATTTTTTCAAAAGATATTCTAAAATGTGTAATGTTTTTTTTACTATAAATTCACCTTATAATTTAGCTTATCAAGGGTTCAGCGACCTCAAAGAAACGCCAACAAGGATGTATGTATGCGTGCGACTAGCACGTCAATATTCCGTGCACATATATCACACCAACAAACGGCCTATTCAACAGCGTCTCAATACCACTGACATCCCATTGTTACTACTGTCATATTACCTCTCTCATACAAAGAACATTCGCCAATGTTTACATGTGTTTTGCTCTCTGTCCCAGGTTGCAACGGCCGGATTTTGAAAAATGTCGTCGACCAATAGGAGGCTTTATCAGAGTAAGTCAACTTCAATATCGCTTTGTTGGTGTTGCATAATTGATGGAGAAGTGCACTTGAATGGTTCGGAGTGAATTGATTATTAGGGGATTTGGGATATGAAAGGCTTTTACATGCACACGGAAATGAGATTGGTTTGATACGACAATGCATTTCCGTGCGTTTGTGTTTTCTTTTCGATTAATGATATCCGAGACTCGCAATTTAGAGTATTTATCGTTCATGTACATACAAGATGTAGGAAAAAGGGAAAAGGTATTTTGTTAATATATAAGCGTCGCTAGAATGGTTATTTTTCAAATGGCATTTTGCGAGTAATAGAGAAGGATATATAAAACGGGCGGAGTCATTACCAAATGATTCTCTAATTTTGTATGGATTTTTGTTGCATTTTTGTTCATTTTCATGCACTTTGATTACGTGTTAGCATTTGTTGTCATCCACATTTACATATAGTTTCGTTTATTTTGTTTTCTTACACGTAATTCTTCACCAATGCTTAATTAACAGAACGGGAGAGTTTTAGAGGTGTAGACCGCCCGCGACCATCTTCAGACGAAAGCAACAAAGGTGCAAGTACAACTCACTACCAGGGCACACACCACTTCTACCTCTCTTGTTCGGCAAAGAAAAAGAGTCTATCAATAACTAGTCAGTGATTACTAGTTAGTTAACCATTCTCACTGACTATTAGCTTTGCAATCTTCGAAAATTCAGTTTTCTTCTGATTTTTCCGTATACATGTACTAACCGAACAAGTGGTTCAAATGGTGTTGTCTTATGGCATCATTCACTGAAAGTAGAAAGGAACTGTGTGGCCAATCTCTCTACAACAGCAGTAGTTGATGTAATATAGCAACGTACATTGTATAGTTTCTGTAAAAGGTAAGCTTCTATTCCACCACTGTTCACAGAATTCACCCTACTTCCATCGAAAAGGGGATAAATTACGAAGCATAAACTGAACGCTTCATTCGATCGCTTTGAGAATTATGGAATAGTTTTTGCAACATGAATCACGTAAAATGTCAATAATTAACGAACTAGATCGGCCACAGTTCTCAGCTGGAAGTGAATGATGCCAGGTGAAGGGATAAGGTCCTGAAATTATAGGTCAGTTCACGGTTTGAAGTGCTCGTGCACGACGTCAACACCTCCGATGTTTCTTGATAGTTCATATGGTTCTTCTTAAGAAACATAGTAGACGGAAAGAAGGAAGAACGTAAAGGAATGACGATCGATATATATGACAAACTCAGGTTTAAAGAAAATAGAGCGTTTGTCGTACTTTGATTCACAAATCTTTCTGTCAAATTGCACTATATGTGACTACATGATACACGTGGCATATGGCCCACGTGGCTCTCCTGCGGCCAGGCGGCAAATGTGCTAGTGCTACCCGGGTTACGGGTACGTGAAGGAATGCCACGCTCTGTGACCAAGAGAACGTTCACACGACGAAAAGGACAAAAATTTGGCGTAATTGTGCAAATTATTGTTCTAATTATGTCTATAACGGGAGTTGATGATAGATAATCGCCTAGATACAAACAGTTGCACCAAAACAGACGCCATGTTCAGTTCTACTGGCGAACGCAGGAAAAGGAAGAGCTTCTGCCTTCTAGTGGACGTTTTAGGCTAGGCCTGGTCGTGGCTGTGGAAAGTTTTGTGTGAGTTGAAGTAAGAGTCAGCAAAACGCAATGGACGCCCGGACCCGTTGGAAACGCGCAGTGAATATGTCTACCCGCCGACAGAGCATTCCGAATGTCCTTACCCGTCGTATCTCTACTCGCCGGTTGAGTGCGGACTTTAGTGGTAAGTTTTGCAAAGTGTAGAGGTTTTATGATACTACTAACCATTTTGTTGTATTTCTTGTTTGGTCTGAAAACCGTAGACGTTGGTTTAAAAACATTGCTTTCGCAACTGCAGAAGCTTGCGAGGTCCTTACGAACCTGGAATCCAAACTGTTGTCGGGGCGTATTGGACCCTCTCTGCCTGGCCAATTTGATACTGTCTTATGCCACCCTAGTATCTGCTTGGAAATTACATATAGGCCAGTTCATCTGCACTTGATGTAACACACCCCCGAGGAAATTTCGCCTCAGACTTCCTGGAAACCCTTGAATTTAGGCAGGCAAAATAATCGAAGTAGTCTTTGTTGACCAGTGCCTGGTGCCCATGTACGGTTCTGGATAGTCCACGCGTATCCAGAACCGTGCCTCGGACAAATCTACGTTCTTGGATACGCGGAGACCATCCAGAACCGTGTTTCATCCCAACTCCAACCCATCCCGGCACAGAACTAAATAGACCCTGTTCTGGATACGATGGCTCCATTCCGTTGTGTCTAACACTCACACTCTACCCCCCCCCCCCCTTACAGCCCCTCCAGCTTTCGTACCGAAGATAAAAAAGAAGCCGCCCACAGTTCCCAAGGACCCCTTCTCCCGCAACCGCGGCCGACTCTGGGAGGACAAGAAGGACGAGCTGGACTATAAGTCCCGCTACATCTCCCCGGACAGGAAGAAGAAGAGACCGTGTCAGTGTAAGAAGTGCATCCTGAAGAGACAGCGGGCCGTCACCTTCCCGAAGGAGGATAGGGACGATGATGATGATGATCACTCTGGGGACGATAGGGAGTACGAGAGCGACAGTGACAGGGAGGATGGGCGCAACGATTCTGGCGAAGTGAGTTAAATCATTCTGTCAATTCATATCTCTCTCTCACCGTTTCTCTCTCTGTCTGTCTCTGTCTCTCTGTCTCTCTTTCTATCCAATACGTTAGACAAGATGATAACAAACACAATTGTCAAGTAAGACCGTAAAATGTATTTTTTTTAAATAGTGAGACTACATTGAAAAATTAAAGATTCAAATGAGAAAATTGTCAAAGAAAGCAGTCAAATTCACAATGCTATGACACTAGATAGGAATATCCTATGATCATCAACAGCCAGCCTGTTGTGGTCAGAAGTCATTACATTAACTATAGTCTACGGCATAACAACTAACACTCATTTTGTCTGTTCATTCAGGACGGGGGAGACTCCGACAAAGACGGCAGGGAAGACGGATCTGCTAGGTAAGGGAGGATGTGAATCAATTACATCTAACTGTGCTTGTAGTTTGCATACACGAGACATTTGTCACCATGCCATGACAAGCTTTGCCATAGAGCATACGAGGCACTTTTATTCAAAAGAATGCTAAATCCTTAGGATTGATCAGCTTAAAGCGATTAGTTAGATCTTATGCAGATAAATCAAACAATGCCCTACTTGTGGATATCTATAGCAACTCTGACGTCATGACGGAATGTAGTGTATGCTACTTTCCATCCATCTAGTTGCTTGAGTAACAATTTCTTTGTACATATTGAAGGCATCTATGAAATTTGAATAGCTAGGCTTAGTAATAGTAATAGTTCTCGGAAGTGGGTTTTCTTTTCCAAGGATCCTTTCAATTGACAAAATAATCCTCATTGAATTCAGGGGTTAACGACCTTGTTGCTCTGTTTTGTCCTCGAGTTTGCCGCCACGCAATAAAGTAAAGTGATTTGACCTGATGCGTTATCAAGAAAACCAGATGTTCGGGAGATTTATAGCGAGATAATTACAAATAGATTAAAATATCATCGGCGTGTTTTGGCACCAGCAAAATTTATGTGAGAAAATCTCCAAGATATGCGACGTTGAATTCGGGTGTTTGGAAAAAGGTTATCTGCAGAAATTGAGATAGGCGTCGCCCTATATACGACATCATGTGGGAAGGACGTCAACTTTCTTATGTTTACCGTACGCGTTACAGAAGGAAAAGATGTTGTTTTGATGGGTTTCTTCTACTTCCGTTCCAATCACAAAAGTTCAATCACCTGGACTAGACAGATGTTACCATGGTAAGCGGTGCTGTAGGAGATACCCTATGGTGTTGCGTTACATAATGTAGCAAGTGGCAGGATGGGGGCTGCCCACCATATATATGAATACGTTTGAGTGAGAATAAACAGAGCAGTGGTTTGTTAGGATAGATCATCTGAAGGTAAAAACATTAATTAATATTATGCATTTGACTTGCAAAGGTTACCTTTGTAGTTTAACTTTAAATTTCTCACTTAGTGACCACCGAGACGAGAAGCCCCAGGTCGATGTGTGGCCCTAGGGCCAGAGAAACTGAGATAGGTGCCGACCTGCATACAATATCATGTGATTGTCATGTCCAATGCAATTTCATTGCGGCAAAACTAAAATATTATGGAAGAGCAAATCTTTCTGATATTGGCTGCCATACTGCCATTTGTTAACACATTCTTTGAAAGATTCTTTATCTTTCATTTTTCACCTAGTGACCACCAAGACGAGGAGCCCCAGGTCGATGTCCGGCACGGTGTTCCGGTGGTCGCCAGGAGGTCCAGTCTGGTCCCCACGGCAGTCAGGTCAAGTACGTATCCGGACACTGACCCGGGTCTGTCCGATCCATATAGCCTGCGAGGTAAGCTAGAGTTGTAAACGCCTCCGTCCCTGGGGCGTCGCCAAAAAAGGCGGGAGAAGCACGGAGGAAATAAACACACAAACAACCTCCTTTGGTGACGTCACGTATGTAGAGGCACCGCATCTGTATCAGGGTAGTAGCTGGAGGTAGTAGGTTTAAGATAACTTCTAGCCTCTTGGACTTGGTGAAAATATTAGAATATTTTCTAACTTTCGGTGTAAAATGACCAGTAGTATATCATTCCACGCCGCTCCCATACTCCTATTGACGGAAAATATCCTCTTACGGACACGTTTTGTGTAAATGGTCTGTTATAAAAGAAAGGTAGCTAGACTTGGTGTTTTGGGGGTAAAAAAAGCCAGACTTTGGTGTGTAGGGTGGATCTTGAGTTTGTACATTCAAAAGTGAATTTTCATCATGGCCGAACGCTCCTGACAACGCATGATGACAATTTCTGGCGACTGAACGGACAGTCAAAGCTCTGTGGTATTTGGGGTACTCTCATTATGGGTTAGATACGGTGCCATTTGCCAAGGTTTTTAAACAGCCATAATGACACTTGAGTCTGACACGTAATATGTATTTGTACTTTGAATTAGTACTCTGACATAGCTACTGATCAGACTATGACAAAAATGTGTTCTATAAAATCGACTGATTTAGCCAAGATACTTACTATAGCTAGTATTTGAGAGCATGTCTTGTTTCTATGATTCATACTCTATGTTTGATACTGACTCGTTGCTCTTCTCACATTTGTCACTGAAGTTCCCTCACCGAGCAAGCCGATTGGATCCGAAGTTACCGAGACGTCGGCGCTGTTGTCTTGGCAACCGCCTGCCAAACGACTGGACGAAATCGTGGGCTATAAGTTAGAGGTAAGAAAAGCTAATGATGTTTTTGAATTGATATACCATTATTCTCAAGAGCAACCGCACTCATTGAAAAGAGCAGGGGTCCTTCCCTGTGTGAGTGTTTCAGACATGTGTGGTAAATAAACTGGAAAGGTACGATTTGCAAAGCAAACATATTCATATATATGGTGACCAGCCCCTTCTCTGACAGTCTGCCCAGCAACTTGCAACATAATGTAACCCAACACCACAGAGTCTGCTACAGTACCAGTGACCATGGAGACAGACGTCTGGTCCAGGCCATTGACCTAATGCTTATGTCGTATTGATCTACTGCCTCCCCGTGCAGGTCCGGCAGCAGCACCAGTCGGAGTGGACCTCCTCTAAGAACGTCTGCACGGAGACGTCCTGCCGCATCGCCGGCCTCACACCCGACACTATCTACCGCTTCCGCGCACGCGCTGTCACAGACACGGACGAGAGCGAACCCAGCTACCAGTCAGACCCCATACGGACCCTCAAGAGCAGACGTAAGGACTATTCCGTTTTCTGAATATCCCAGAAAGGCAAGAAGGAGGATTTTAGTGGCAAACTTCTTCCATTTTCCCTGCATTCTGTAGTCCTCTTGGTGTCACTGTCTTCATTTTACAATAAATCCCCCTTCTTTCCAAATTTCTGAGAAGTGCGAACGAAATTAATATTCATGTCCTTCATGTATTCAGTTATTTGAATTATTGTTCTAATACTTTATTCGCCTGGTCAAATTAAAAAAAATTACCATAATCCATGAATACAGGCGACCCTCCCGGCAAACCTTACGCGACTGACGTCACGGAGACCACGGCCCGGCTGACCTGGCCCAAGCCGCACGACAAGTCCCGAGTGGACCGCTACATCGTGGAGTCACGCAAGGACAGGGAGTCCAACCAGTCCAACTGGACCGAGGTGCTGAAGGACAGCGACACGAGCTGTGATATCAGGGACCTACAACCGGATACGCCGTATCGCTTCCGGGTCAGGGCGTGTGCCGGGTCAGACATCAGCCAACCAGGAGAGATGTCCGACATCATTCGGACGAAGAAGGAACCTCGTAAGTAGGGCGTTCTTCTTCCAACTGCCGACTCTTCGGCAATAACTGACATGTATAGCAATAATTGACATGTATTATCGATTGGTTTACTCGTAGCTTTTCGATAACTTGCAATAACAACTTAGTTGCTTGCTTCAAACATACGATTTGATGTAATATTTACAAAGACGGGATAGCGGAGAGACCTAAAGTTGCTGTAGAACCTTTTCCATCAACAAGACAGCTGAAGTTCACAGAACACATGCACGACTCAGTTTGCGATTGTACGACAATCGTACAATGTAATGAGACTCTGAACCTTGCGGCATGCGTAATTGAAAGAGCCCACTGTACCTTAATTTCACCGCGGCATCTGCCCCCTCCCAGTGTATCCCCCGGGACGACCGTTGGCCACTGACGTGACGGACCGTGACGTGACGCTGACGTGGTCGCCGCCGGACGGGGGACGGAAGCCGCTGGAGTACGCCGTGGAACACCGCCGGGAGGGCAGGGACGAGTGGACCTCATGCGTGGAGGTAATAAAATACCCCCTGCAGTTCCAAAAAGCTGCTAAAGGGGGCCAAAATATTTACAATTTCCAAAGGGTACCAGTCGGGACATAGCAAGTTAAGAACATGAGATACACAAAGCGGACGTTCCGCTGCAGCACCATAGAGAGCCGTTTATATAGAGGCCCATAATCGAACTTATCCTCTTACACCTCTCTTACAACCGAAAATACGGCCTTCCAGGCGAAGGTCTTCTAGAACTTTCCTTAACGTTGGGAACTTGTTCCAAGGAGAAGTCAGAACTTTAATCTTCATCATGACAAATGGCTCAGTATTCAGTACCTAGAAGCCGATACTGACCTCGTCTTTTGTTAAGGGTATTTGGTGGTAATTTTAATGGAAAGTGGGGTAATTCTGAACGCGTTTTGTGATATTTTTTTGAAAACAACAATATTTCACTTCCCGCAGACGTTCAAAGACACCAGATGCCAGTTGAACGGTCTAGAACCAGAGACTCCGTACCGGTTCCGGGTGAGATCTCTGGCCGGCGATGACGTCAGCATGCCTAGCGACCCATCCGAACTCGTCCGCACAGACAGACACAAAGGTCGGTATTTTTGGTGACGCCTCTGGGGCGGTGGGCTTATTAGTTCTATTTCTGATAAAATGACACATTATTTTGGGCTGCGCTGATAGGAATCTGATGTAACTGGAGCTTAGTGTGTGGTCATAATTGTCTGTATTTGTTTATTTCTAAGGTAAGAAATAATTTGGTTTAATCATAACCAACTAACAAGTTTTCTATGATTACCATTCCATCCCAGTCGTCATCCCTCCGCCCGGAAAGCCGAAGGTTTCCGATGTGAAGGACTCGGAGGCCACCCTGTCGTGGGACCCGCCGAAGGGCCGGACCAAGCCTGACGAGTACCGGGTGGAGGTGTGGGAGGCCGGGGACGAGAAGTGGACGCCCCACAGCACTGTCAAGAAACCACCCTTCACTGTGGACGGCCTCAAACCGGATACGGACCATTACTTCCGGGTCATCCCGGTCAAAGGTGACGACGTGGGAGAACCCAGCGAGTACGTCGGCCCCATCCGAACGGAGAAGATGAAACGTAAGTTTTTCTTATAGTAATTTAAGTTTCCTGGTTTCATTTACTTTCATCTTTTCTTTCGTTCAATTCCTTTGATTCTTCGTTTCATGTGCTATCTTATTCCATCATGTTCTTCTCTCGCTATGTCAATCTTTGATGCTCTATCTTCTTTTCTAATTTCCTTCTAATGTTTTTATTATTATGGTTTCTTTCTTCGCCTTACTTGAGCCTGTTTTTTACGTTTCGTTCCGAGAATTGGTAACGTAAGAGATTAGTAACGTAACGCAACATTATTTTGCGATGAAATGACGTTCAAATGTCTCCTTCAGCTCCACCTCCTGGCAAGCCCAAGCCCACAGATGTGGATGAGAACAAAATCAACCTGGCATGGCCGCCATCGGAAAAGGTGAGAATATGCAAATTAGGGCCTATTTATACGATGAAACGATTGGCCAGCCTTCTGCCATAATGTCATCTTACATAAAACACCGATATTGGCTTCAGTCACTACATACGTAGCCCCTTACTCAATTATTACAAGACAACGTGTTAACCTTAGCTCATGTGACATAATACTCTCATTGAAAAATCTTGCCAAGTTGCACGAGAGGAAGAGAGCCACAATGACATTCTGACAATGACTTTTGCCGAATTTTCGTACTTACAATACCAAACGCACTATGCCTCTCCTGTAATAGCCCGAAGACGTTGATGAGTACGTCGTGGAGATGCGGGAAGACCGGAAGTCTGAGTGGAAGCCGGAGGTGGTGAAGACGCGGGACACGCATTGCGAGGTGCCGGGCCTGGTGGGGGACACGCCGTACCGCTTCCGTGTGCGCGCCGTCAAGGACGACGTGGTGGGAGACCCCAGCAGCGTGTCCGACCCCATCTACACACGGAGACCCAAAGGTAATGATAAACGGTTCCGAGCTGTCAATCACAATTGGCCATTAAGTCAATAGGAGAACAGGATTCAGTTACATGATCACGAATTTATACGTTCTTTCGGGCTCATTCCTGGCCACAATTAGAATAAGCGTTGTGAAGGAGGCCCACCACCATGCCGCCGAGACTCTTTCTCGCTCTCGTGGCATATCAGCTGACCTAGGCATGGGGCCATTTGGGACCTTGCGAAAACGCCTATATGTAAGCTTCGACTCATGCAGTGTTTACCCTCTCGGGTCCAATCTAGGGCGGACGTACTAGCTTTGCACCGTATCAAGAAATGATGTTTGAATGTTGACACTGTGCTTTTTCTCCCAAAGTTCCAACACCAGGAAAACCAGAGGCTTCAAAGATCACAGACGACAGTCTATCGCTCGCCTGGCCAATGCCCTTGGGGCCCCCACAACCTGCCGTCACCGGATATGACGTAGAATATCGCAAAGACGATTCCGATGACTGGAAATACAAGACGTCTTGCAAGGAGCCGCCCGTGAAGGTCGAAGACCTCGAGCCCGCCACCGCCTACAGATTCAGGACTCGCGCCAAAACCAAGTACGAGAAGGGAGACTTCAGCGAGGAGTCAGATCGCGTTGTCACTGGTAAGTCGCAGCTTCTGATTGGCGGTATTTCATCCTTGTACCGCCTTGCATCAGTTCCACTGGACGGCTAAATATAGACATGATGTTGCTCTTGCCGTCATTTAAAAATGTTACCGGAGTGCCTATGGCCTAAAACAATATATTGAAATGTCATGGCACTACATGTAGAATGTTCACCAGTCGTAGCAAAGGAATACCGATTCAAAAGTTTTACTAATTTATACCACAGCCTATCATTCTGGTTGTAAATGTGAATCACACACACACTTGATTGAAAATTGGACAAACGATTCCATAGGTCTGTGCGTAACTAACATGGCAAAAAAATATGTCCAGAAATCGTACAGCCTGTAATAGACTTTAGGTATGGAGCCATAGTTTGTTCTCGGTGCAAAACATATTTGCCGTTCACAGATCGCGGTTCGCAGTCGCCCATGAAAGCCATCAACATCAACCCGGACTCTCTCCAGGACGACGGCCCGACCATCCTACCGCCGGGGAAGCCTTCGGCGTACGACGTCGGCGACAGGGACGCCAAGATCAGCTGGCCCGCCCTGCCCGACGGCAGCGACACCAGGAGCGACAACCTGATTGGCTATGACGTAGAGATGCAGGAGGAGGGGGATAGCGATTGGAAGGACGTCATCAGAGGGACCAAGTCCAACAGGTGCTACGTCCGTGACCTGGCGAAGGAGTCGCGGTACTACTTCCGGGTCAAGGCGAAGACCATTCTCGGGGAGAGTGACTACGGAGAAACATCGGACGTGGTCATCACCACAGGGAACCAAGGTAAGAAGAAATTTGAATGTTTTTATGTACCTCGAATAATGTTATAGATTGTTTTGCTGTCCATGTGCAATTCCATTGTACTGTATTGTCTTGTCAGCGGGGAAAGCCCTTTGCAATAGCCACATACACAGGCTGGTCGGGCTGCCCTGGCTGTGCGTGTTGAACAGCAAAACCAGTAAATGAACAAATAAGAATAAATTGTAATCCGGCAATATAGCATGATGAGAAACAGTACTGGCACTTTTCACTGTCAAGATTTCATTTAATGATTGATTCTTTAAAAGTAATGCACATGGTCAGCTCTGTCAGTGGTGCTGAAACGTGTGTTACCATTGTGACCGTACTTTTGGAAGTCAATTGGAAGAGGACTGGGATTTAGAAAGGTCACAAACGGCCTTAGGAATCTTTTTAGAATTTCAATATTGTATATATTTCTACCATCATTATATTTCTCGATACGCTCATTGGATTCATCCAAAAAGCAGTGATATCCAATGTTCTCTAACCTACAGAGCGAGAGGACGACTCCATTCCACCCCCGGGAAAACCCGAGTTTTGGGACGTCCAAGAAACCGAGGCCAAAGTAAAATGGCCGGCCCTGGCGGACGGAAGTGACTGGAGGAACGACGGCATCACCGGATATGACGTGGAGATGAAGAAGGACGAGGACGACGACTGGGTCTCTGCGGCGAAAGGCGTGAACAAGACGAAGTGCCAGGTCGTGGGGCTGAATCCCGCCACGCGTTATTTCTTCCGCGTGCGCGCTCTGAAAGGGAAGAGAGAAAGCGAGCCTGGAGACATGGAGGTTGTCGTGACGCAAGGGAAGAAAGGTAGATTTCTATGAAGTACATTGACAGTACAATGGTATAATGCTAGTAGTAGCTTGTAAGCAACAGACCTCGTGCGGCATTACTCTCGCTAGAGCCGACTTTACTCTCGCCCTATATAGCTCACGGGAGAGTAATGTTGGACTGGAATCCGAAAATCGGTCTAATGGTAGCCAAGGAACATACCTAACGAAAAGAAGTGGATGCTACTTGAAGTGTGCTTGAGTAATTGCTTGCTTGTGTATTAACGCTCGCTCCTTATACAATTTCTTCAGGAATTCCACCTCCCGGCAAGCCAGTAGCGTGGGACGTGCAGGAGGAGCAGTGCAAACTGCAGTGGCCCGTTTTCATCGACGGCGGGGACGAGAGGAACGACACGACCGGATATGACGTCGAGATGCGGAAGGAGGAGGAAGACGATTGGGTCTCCACCGCCAAGGGCGTGAAGAGGAACAAGTGCCTCGTGATGGGACTGCATCCAGGTAACCGTTACTACTTCCGCGCGCAGGCCATCACGGAACTCGGGGAGAGTGAGCCTGGGCCACCGTCTGATGTCGTCATCACTCCGGGGAAGAAAGGTAAGATATCACATGATTAAAACTCACTCTCCTATTGGACCAACTGCAGGTTTTTCATCGACAGACTTTCTCTATCAATTGCGACCTTTCTGCTGTGAATGGTTGATAACCATGGTGATTATGTGTCGTCACGTCTCAGTTCTATTGAAACATTGGCATTTGGCAAGGTCTTTTCTTTCAATAAACGAATGCATCGAACCCAAAATAACTATCGAAAGGTACTAACAGCCATTGCATGTTAAAGGGAGGGATGTTCCACCGCCCGGCAAACCTGCCGCCTGGGACACCGAGGAGACCCAAACCAAACTGTGGTGGCCCGCCCTGGCCAACGGAAGCGACGTCAGGTATGACGACATCACCGGATATGACGTCGAGATGAGGGAAGACGGGGAGGACGAGTGGCAAGCCGCTGCCAAGGGGGTGAAGAAGACGAAGTGTAAGGTGATCGGGCTCAAGCCGGGCACGAAGTACCACTTCAGGGTGCGCGCCGAGACGGAAGACAACGAGAGCGAGCCGGGAGAAGAGTCCGACGTCGTCATCACCAAATCACAGAGACGTGAGTTCACATCAACGTTTTGTACAAGTCTTAGAAAGCCATCCTTTCTTATGGATACAGTGTTGAGCAAAATGGACATCGAATACGCAAGGAGACCCCTCAACATTGCGTGACTATCTTCAAACAACCCGTGGTTTTTGCATGCAGTCACCGTCAGAATTCTGCGTACAAAGCTGTTGTGTTACGCACTAACAATTGAGTTGACATTGTTTTGTTCTCAGCCACACCACCCGGCAAGCCTGAAGCATGGGACGTGGAAGAGGAAGAGACGAAGCTCCGCTGGCCCGCCCTGCCCGACGGAAGTGAGACCAGGGATGACGGCGTCACCAGATATGACGTGGAGATGACTGAAGACGGCAAGGACGACTGGAAGACAGTGGTGACCTCCGTCAACGACAACAAGTGTAAACTGATCGGTCTGTCCGGCGGAACCAACTATCGCTTCCGGGTCACAGCCATTGGGAAAGAACTGAGGAGTGACCCTAGCGAGATATCGGACCTCGTAGAAACACCAATCATTAAGAGTAAGCCATCAAACTTGACTTATTAATATGATTATTTTCACAGAGTTAGGAATAGCCTGGAGTCCGTCTTATTCTAGCTCCAGTTCGACCCTCTGGCCGCATCCAAGCAGAATATGACTTTCCTGATTATAATCCAAAAGAATTATAGTCGGCTAGCGCTAGAGGGCAACCTCGCCGACCTACTCCCAGCCATTGATGACCAACTATGATAGTAGAGAAGGTCGTGAGGCCACAGTCGGCTATGCGTGACTAGGGCTTTGAACAGATTTGCATGTATTTACTTATAGGTCCAAAAGTATTGTTTTTGGTGGTGGAGATATGGGTTTGTGTCCAGAGAGAGTGGGTTGACAGCACGTGGGTGGGAAGATTGACACGCTATGTATATTTTTTCCGTTCACAGAGTCGATCACGCCTCCGGGCAAACCCGAGGCGTACGACACGGAGGAGACGGAGACCAAACTAGTGTGGCCCGCTCTGGAGGACGGCAGCAAGTACCGCGACGACGACGTCACTCGGTACGAAGTGGAGATGAGAGAGGACGGCTCGGAGGAGTGGCACGACGCCGCTAAGGGCGTGGACGATACCAAGTGTAAGATCACGGGGCTGCAGCCGGCCACCAAGTACCGCTTCCGGGTCCGGGCCGGGAATGACGCTGGGGAGGAGAGTCAGCCTGGGAAGGAGTCTGACACAGTGGAAACTCCCGCCACTAGAAGTAAGCAGAACATAACGCCTGTAGTTAGATGTGAAGATGCTGTGTGTAACAGGTCGTTCGGTGTAATATACTAGTAGCCAGCTGCCGCCGTGCCTGCGAAGCTGGTGTCTCACACTGAGTGACACTATACTGAGATACAGATAAGAGATATTTTATAGAAACGTTTCAGGTAGCATCCACTTCTTTTCGTCAGTTTTCAAAAATCTATCTAGTTGCTTGTGCAACAATTTCCTTGTGTGTATCATTGCCTGGCATGTATGTCTAAAATTCAACGACGTGTGATAGACTGATCCTAAACTACTGTTCATTATGCCGTTTTCAGAGTCCATTGATCCTCCTGGCAAGCCAGTGGCCTGGGACGTGGAAAAGACGGAGGCCAAGCTGAAGTGGCCTGTCCTGCCCGACGGGAGCTACAGCCGGAACGACGGCATCAACGAGTACGAGGTGAAGGATTCAATCGTCATTCGAAGTTTGTTGATATTTACAAAGTATGACTCCGTAGATCTTAACATTTACATACAAGGTCATCAACATATCGTCAGTTATTAGCGCTATAATTCACTTTATCATAAAAATATGTTTCAGTTTTGGGGACATAACGTTTCCTTAGAATATCATTTACTAGTCAATTCGTTCATTTTCGCTCCTCCGGATGAACCCCTCCTTGACTGACATTAGTCTTGTTTTAGTCTGGCAGTACTTGGCCTAGATGTTGCACTAGACACTCCATCTCGCCCTCTACGTCTCCTCCACTCTCTAGTTGTTCACTCAGTGGTTCCTAGCTTCTACCTGCTGTCTGGTAAAGGCGTATACATACATTTGTATAACATGAGGACGTTGTATCAACACTATAATTACAGGTGGAACTGCGAGAAGATGATGACCCAGACGGCTGGCGGGACGCGGCGAAAGGCGTGAAGGGGTACAAGTGCAAGATCAAGGGCCTGAACCCGGGGACGCGGTACCGCTTCCGTGCACGCGCGATCTCCGACATCGGCCAGAGCGAACCAGGGGAGGAGTCGGACGTCGTAGAAACCCGCGGGGGTAGGTTTCCATTTTCCGCATTGCTCAAATACTAAATCCTGCAGCCAATTACAAATACATAGTGCCTCGATCATAAAACTATACCATAAGTGTGGGTCGCCGCTTGCCCTCAAGAATTCGGTTGCATGGTGGGTGGGACGTGATTTTGACAGTTGATAGGGAGGTCACGTCTGACGGTGACGGTCGACTGTGTAATACCCAATCGAACTGTGTCATACAATCCCCTCCACAGTTGACCTAGAAAACCAAAACACGGAGGTCTGTGAACTTAAAGGTCAGGAAAACCCTAAATACTTCCCGTAAGTCTGAAAAATCTGATTTCTGGTTTATTTTCGTCGTTTGTGCCATTTCAGAGATGATTGACCCGCCCGGTAAACCAGAAGCCTACGACGTCCAGAACAACGAGATGAAGCTCTGGTGGCACGCGCACGAGAACGGAAGGGACGACAGAGACGACGGCGTCACCGGATATGACGTCGAGATGAGACAGGAGGGATCCGACCAATGGCAGTGCGTGGCCAAGAGCGTGGAGGACACCAAGTGTAAGCTGAAGGGCATGGCCGGACCGGATAAGAAATTATGGTTCCGGGTCAGGGCTCTGAAAAATGACCTCGCTAGCGAACCTGGGGAGGAATCAGACGTCGTCACAATACCAGGTATGTTGATCAGAGATGAGAAGACCTCATTGTCCTTTTTATATAATCATCCTCGTCTATATTAAGTACCAAACGTCTTCCTAAATTCATGAAACCTTTTAAATAGTAAAACGAGAATTCCATGATGTTATACCTCCCTCCCACACACACGCGCGCGCGCGCGCAAAAGCTACCCAAAACTAACCTTCTTGACGAAGGTAATAATTATTTTGGCCTTTACTTTCCAAATAGACGGCATCCCACCGACCGGGAAACCGGAAGCCTGGGACGTGGAGGAAACCCAGACCAAGCTCCGCTGGCCCGCCCTGGCCGACGGAAGTGACGTCAGGTACGACAACATCACCGGATATGACGTCGAGATGAGGGAGGAGGGCAGCTCCAAGTGGAACGAGGCAGCCAAAGGCGTGAAGAAGAACAAGTGTAAGGTGATAGGACTGGAGCCCGGGAGGCACTATTACTTCCGGGTGCAGGCCATGCGAGGGGACGAGGAGAGCGAGCACAGCGAACCGTCTAATGTCGTCATAACTCCCGGGAAACGGACAGAAACTGGTAGGAAATTATAATTCTTAATGCTTGGGTAATACAGTAGGCGTTTGTGTTCGTGTCGCATGCAATATCACTTTCCACAGCCGCACGCCACTTTACCTGTTTTCTCGGTCTCTTCCGTCCTAAAAAATTAAAGATAGAAGGCAACCCAGTTGCCTCCGCATCGTTCGTGAGCATGTCTTTAATGTATGACAATGTGGTCTTCTTATAATAGAAGAAAAAGACGACTAAAAAGTCGGTGGTCTTCTGATAATGTACATGCAACAAGATTCAAACTTCCAATTTCGTATCGAACTGCGAATGCTATGCGAGTAGTCTCCAAATAGTACAAAACAGTTTTTTTCTCATCTGTGGAAAATCCAAAACTTACATTTCCATGAACTGGTCTGCTGCTTGCCTCTTAAAAAAATGAAACCTTGAAGAGGACACGCCATTGCCACGAGTGGTAATCACTACTCTGGACAACGAGCTCCTAGTGGGCGGAGCGTCGGACGAACCACCTGCCAATGATCCTATCGAACCTCCCGGCATGCCGTTCGCCTGGGATGTGGAAGCTGTGACTTTGAAGTTGCGCTGGACTCCTCTGTGGAACTGTACCGAGGACAGGTACGACGAAATCACCGGATACGAGATAGAGAAGCAAGAGGGCGACGGCGAAGAGTGGGTACTGTCAGCGTCTAGATGTGTGAAATCGAAATGCCGGATTCGGGGGTTGAAGCCTGGGACGCAGTATCGCTTCCGGGTCATAGCCGCGAGGGATGATGGGAAAAGCAAACCAGGCCGACCATCTGAAGTCATCACGACCCCGTCGCTAGGTAACGAGGCATGCCGCGAGACAGCAACGAAACGCTACTAATGCTCGTCGTTATTCATGACAACGCAACATTTGAATCTATTTTCTATGCCCAATAAGGTTATTATGTGTCTTATATAATGTGACGTGCCGTGGTTACAGTTTTTTTTTGCGACCAGACATGTGACGACCAGGACAACAACAACATTCTTGTTCTTTCAAAACTTGAGAGACAACATCCGCGGGTAACAGAAGCAGTAACAACTGAGTTGTCGTGTAACATGTCCTGCCACTTGTTTCAGTTCACTTAAAGTACGTAGATAAAGGATCTGTGACTATAATCGTAGCCCTTTGGTGGCATACCTCTTTACCCGTTCCCAGGCATCGATATAAACCTATCATAATTCCAAGTTTTACATAGAGATGAAATGAGTAGTAGCACCTTGGCTACTCTTGGTATTGTTTATACAACTTGGTAATGTCTCGCCATATACGAAACAACCGATCTCATGTTTTTAATTGGTGGCCAACTGAATCACAACTATCATCACAGTCACATAGAGTCACTGCACTGTCAACTATAAAGCATGTACTATTCATTCATTTGGGAGTTCACGTAGACCTTACCGTTTTGTTTACTGACGACTGCACAAAACTGCACTCTGACATCACGGATGCATTGTTGTGCCTCACATTGCATGGCTGTATGTACGTGTTTTCTCAAAGGTTACAAATGTACAGTTCAACTGTTTGAATTCTGAAGATATTTTCTCAAACACGTGTTTGCATTCACGTGCAGTACTATTTCGATCATAAATGCTCTATGTTCGACCTTGTTTTATTTTTAGTTCCTCCACCCGGAAAACCAGAGGCGTGGGACGTCACGACCAGCGAAGCCAAGCTGCAGTGGTCTGCCCTGGCGGGTGACACCACCTACAATCGGGAAGACGGCCTGACCGGATATGACGTGCAGATGAAGGAGGAGAGCTGGAGCGAATGGCAGCCGGCCGCTAACGGCGTCACGAAGAACAAGTGCAAGATCGTGGGGCTGCAGCCGGCGTCCAACTACTACTTCCGGGTCAGGGCGAACACGACTTCCGGGGTGAGCGACTTCGGGGAAGAGTCTCTTGTTGTGGCCACCGCGGAGAGAGGTTTCCCCACCGACAACGGCACCACACTCACACCTGTCAAGGAGATCAGAGACGGGGAAGACGACAGTGAGTTCTTCTCAATATTATTTGCCCTCCCCTTACCTTCTGTTAAGGCATCAATAACAGCTGATAGATCAAGAATCCTTTTTTAATTTACTTATTTTCCCTTTCATATTTTACTATTCCAGGCATTCCGCCAACTGGGAAGCCCGAAGCCTGGGACACGGAGGAGACGCAGACCAAACTGCGCTGGCCGGCCCTCGCCGACGGAAGTGACACCAGGAATGACGGCATCACCGGATATGACGTCGAGATGAGGGAGGACGGCAGCTACCAGTGGCACTCTGCGGCGAAGGGCATCAAGAAGCCGAAGTGCCGGGTGGTCGGGTTGGAGCCGGGGAGACGGTACTTCTTCAGGATTCAGGCCATGAAGGGGACGGCGGAGAGTGTACACTCTGAGGTGTCTGACGTAGTGGTCACTCCGGGGACAAGAACGGACGTTCGGACGCCAGTAGAAGGTATGGCAATCCTCCTCTCGAACGTCTAGCGACTTATCTTAATTTCAGTAAAACTTTTACTACTTTTTCGTCAGACGAAACGACTATTCTACTTTCGAGTTGGAGGTCAAAATGGTCGCAATGCAGACTGAGACAGTGGAATATGCAGAATGATGAATAGATTTAGATGACCGCAGACCACTGACAGGTCATAACTGCCCTAATGAAGGCGGCAGACGATCATCGAAACGTCGGCTCTTCTTAAACAAAACAGGTGGTTGTGAATACAGAACTTTGCTATTCAATTATTCACCAACCTGATGAAATTATTCACTTGTTGTTTCTTCTGCACAGATATCGTCCGCCCCCCTGGCAAGCCCTCCGCCTACGATGTCGACGAAAGAGAGACCAAACTTCGCTGGCCCGCCCTGGCCGACGGAAGTGACACCAGGTATGACGACATCACCGGATATGACGTCGAGATCCAAGAGGAGGGAACGCACCCAATGGAAGTCACAAGCAAAGGGCGTGAAGGGTACCAAGTGTCGCGTCATCGGGCTGGAACCAGGGACCCTGTACTACTTCAGAGTGCAGGCCATGAAGGGACCGAAGGAGAGCGAACCGTCCGAGGTGTCCGAACCGGTACGCACGCTGGGGCGCAAGAGAAGGGACTCGGACGACATGGAGACATTTGCCGGAGGGGACCGGACCGGGAGCCCCCCAAGAACTCAGGATGGTGAGTCTAGATAATCTCCATTCGCCAGAGCTGCGACCAATACGGTGCTTAATGGTCACTTTTTGACCAATGTATACTGACTTCCCACCGTAGGATCTGCATAATGAGCTATAAATACATACATCTCATGCACAATCTGTTTAACTACTGTTTTATTGTGTTGGAGCAGATTCCCTACCGTTTCCTGGTCAGCCGGAAGCCTTTAACGTGAGTGAGACAGAGACCGAGCTCCAGTGGCCTCCACTCGGCAGAGGCTCCCCGGCCCAACACGACGGCATCGACGGGTACTACGTCGAGGTCCGCAAGTCCGGGGAACAGCAATGGAAGGCCTCCACCAGGCCGTGCAAGCTCACCAAGTGCAAGGTCAGGGGTCTGCTTCCGGACACGGCCTACTACTTCCGGGTCAAGTCCGCCCGAGGGTCGTGGGAGAGCCGTCCGAGCGAGACGTCCCAGGTCGTGGTCACTCCACGTGCTACAGGTGGGTTCATATTTCGCGGTTTATCCACTATAAACCATTCCACGGTTCGGAGAGCGCATTTGTAGGTTTGTTGCTAAAGGGTTTGTCCTCACTTCTGGGCTTACCTCGTACCTTACCCAGAATCCCATGCCGCGCAGAAACTGTGAGGCGATTTGTCAACCGAGTTGCCAACTGGAATGGATTTTTATATGAACAGACAAGCGGCAATACTTCAGCCAGTAATTTAGATTAGAAATTGTACAATATCTTCAATAATCGTTAAATTATGCTATTGCATTTGATGCAATATGTAACGTAACGCTTAATTATGGTTGATTTTGTTGTTTTACGTTCCGTGCTTTTTAATTATGTATAACGTTACATGGCTTACATGTTTCCTGAGTGTGAGCTGGAAATAGAGATGCCGCCTGTCCTCTCACCCCATCCACATGTGTGGAGAATAATAACCAATAAATAAATACATTCTTTGATTTCAGACGAGAACTGGAAGGAGAGGTTGCGGCAGACCCTGGCCACCGCCGCGGCGCAGCAGACCGAGCCCTGCCCGTTCTGTAACCTCCCCAAGACCGACACGGAGGACGGCAGGCCACAGGCCGTGGTACGTCGGAATGTATACGTATTTTCAACGTGTTTTACTTACAATTTACATGTTTACCAATTATTAATAAAACGTGTAAAAGATGGAATAGCAAGTCCGTTTGCACATTCTGAGTGACCGTTTAGCAATCGTGGTGCTCTGCCGGGAAGAGGCCGTTACGTATACGGGCCCAATTAATTGCCATACGATGTATCCGTACATTAGTTGTGCAATAAACTTTGACTTGACTTGAAATTAATGATAGTTAATATCACACAAAGAAGGTTACCAGATCCTTGAATTAAAAAAAAAGTTGGATTTGCGTACTGCTGGCGATGCCATAAAACCATGATTTCTTACGTTCCGAACGGAGTTTTGCACTGAAAGATATAATTACAGTCTTCATTTTAGCTGAGCACCCACAAGTTTGTAACGGCATAACTGTTACGCTTTGGTGAATGGCGTTTACCACTGAGTGGAAATTATTAACTGTTTTACTCAAACTTTATATTTTCTTTCCCTAGGTGCGACCGATCCAGAATGGTGGAGCGGATTTGGTGGATGATGACGTCATCATCTGCGTGTGTGACTGCGACTCCATTTCCGTGACGTCATCTTCTTCCTCCAGAAGCAGCAGCCGGCGGGGCAGCGAGGACTCCAAGCTTTGCGTTGTCATGTAGTCATGTGACGTCACGTTGCCTTATAAGGAGCGGGCAGAACGTACTGCATTGCACTACGGTAACGGCGCAAAAACCGTAATGCATTGTACATAGCCCTTCAGCATAACGTATTTAAGTGTAACATTCCGTCTATAGTTTTCAAATGTTGTGTCGGAAAAGATATCGTCTGCACCAGGCAAGGTTGATGGAACTGCCAAAAAAAAAACGTGGAAAAAAGCTTGGTCTCGCACAGGCGCAGTACGTTCTCCAGATGTGCTTAATATGGAATAACCTATGTCCTATAGGGTATTTCTTTATTCATCATCATCATCATCATCGGTCGACTGCTGCGCAGGCGTTATTATACCACTTCAAACGTCTGGCAAGGTCAAATCCTTGTCTGGCAAGGTCAAATCCTAGACTAATCATTGGCAGTGGGTGTTTAGGAAACAAGAAAGCTAGAAAAGGATCTATAATTGAAATATAACGTTGTAATGGTGAATTCTGTCTCTCTCATGGAATTGCTGAAAACGTTAGTGATCTTATCTATTGTAAAGATGGTCTCTTGAAACAAAGAATTTTGAAGAAAAAAAGATAACTAGTTGTTGAGCATCTGAAACACATTAGGAATGGGGTGTGTTAACAAAAAGGTGGTTAGTGAATGTATGTTGTTATTTATTGAGATCACATATTTATTGATATACTACCTTTATCTTGATTTGCCAAATTTGACGTTTATGTAAGAGTATGTGCGTACAAGTGCATGTAAATAGTAGAGTACAAGGAAACATTTTGACTCAGAGCCGTTAATGTGATACTTTATTTATACACTGTATTGTCAATTATATTGCTGTGAGTCTAATACATTTGAGTCTATGTTTCAGGTGTATTTTCAAAAGTTTGACACTGGTGTTGTCTATGAATAGGAAAGTTCTTTATTCCCAACCGCTCGTCTAACACGAGCAAATGTTTTTTATGACCGTCTGTCATCTTCATCAGTTAAACAAGTGGTTGGGAATAAAGAACTTTGCTAATGATCAATCAGGTAATTGTAAATCTATCATATGGTGTCGAGAGAAAAAATCATTTGAAGATGATACAGAATATGTGTGTGTGTGTGTGTAGAACCTGCACCCAATAAAGGTGTCTCTAAAACAACCTGTCCCTTATGGTCTGTCTCCAATTCATTTTGTATCATCAGCATGAAAGTTCATCTGAGTTGGTAAATTGCATTATGAAAAACTTAAACTTTTCTCCAACTCAAAAACTCTTGACTTCAGACAACCTTTGACCCTTTGCTGACGTCACACGTGGGAAAAATCACGTGTCCACAGCATTTGGGTCAGATAGCTGAGGAAGACTGAGTGATTCGGTCGAAAATTTCTGGTGAGTCAAATTTTGAGTTGGAGAAAAGTTTAAGTTTTTCATTTTGTATCAGTAATGTTCGATGGATTAAAACAACCAGATGATGTAACACTTTCACATTTAACTCTATAGGCTGTTTAGTGTTTGATGAGTTTTGAGAATCATTGTAAGAAAAAGTAGAAAATTATACATCAAGCATCGACATTTCATTGTGAAATAGGAGATCATAAGTCCAAAAAGTTACATAGAATTCAGTGACCCCTAAAAATTCATTTACACACATTCTTAATAAAAAAATATCAATAAACTACCATGACTGGAGGATATTTCCACAACATAGTGCAACTATAAACAACTAAAAATTCTTCAAACATATCAGTTGAAAGAGTTAAATTGCTAAATAATTTTAGTTTTGATACAACTACTGACAAACCAAATATACCCAGAACCACGTTGTTCAGAACGTCAATGTGAAGTCACCTTAAATGGTCTATTTCTGTTAAATGAGAAGTTAGATTTTTAAAAGGGTTTTTAAGTTCTGCACTTCCTCTCATACCTGGCCCACCACCTGCCAATAGACAGCCTAGGTGTAACAGCCAATCCCCCACCTGATGGAGGGAAAGTCACTGACCAATCACCTTGCTGCCTATTGCCGAGAAGCATTGTGATTGGCTTGTAGCAACAGACCTGGCTGAGAAAATATTTTTGTGTAATCAAAGTGCTTTCTGTATATCTGGTTCAGTATGTGTGACGGTGTGTTGCTTTAAATTAGACAACTTTGTGGAAGAATTGTTACATTTCTTTCTTTTTTCACGAGTGTGCTTTTCCATGTGACGTTTTAGATTAGACATTTTCGTTGCTGTGTGATCGCAGATGTCACATTTGTACGGCCTCAAACCAGAGTGCTTAATCCTAGTATGCTGGTTCAGGTCAGACATTGCCACGGCGGCAAAATCACACAAGCCACACTTGTACGGCTTCTCGCCAGTGTGCTTAGCCATGTGCCGTTTCAAGTGACACATTCGCGTGGCGGAGTGACCACAGATGCCACATTTATACGGTTTCTCTCCCGTGTGTTTATACATGTGCTGTCTGAGGGCTGACTTCATCGCTGTCGCATAATCGCAAACCTGACATTTGAAGGGTTTCTCGCCAGTGTGTCGCACCATGTGCAGTTTTAAATGAGGCATCTGTGCAGCAGAATAGTCACACAGGCCGCATTTGTAAGCCTTTTCACCAGTGTGCGTAGTCATGTGCTGTTTTACACTCGACTTCACTGCTGCAGAATAATCACATAGTTCACATTTGTATGGTTTCACGCCAGTGTGTTTAGACATGTGCAGCTTCAAGTGAGACTTCTGTGACGAGGCATAATCGCATAGGTTACACTTGAATGGCTTATCCCCGGTGTGTTTAGACATGTGCCTGTTTAGGTTGCACTTCTCTGCAGCAGAGTAGTCGCAAATGTTACACTTGTAAGGCTTCTCACCAGTGTGCGTGGCCATGTGTTGCTTCAGGTGATGCTTCTGAGCAGTAGAATAGTTGCAAACCTCACACTTGTACGGCTTGTCCCCAGTATGGGTGGCCATGTGAAATTTGAGATTCTTTTTGCTGACCGAGGAGAAGTCGCACTCGGTGCATTTGTGGGGCCTGTGGTTGCTGTGTTTGGCCATGATGTGGCCCTCCAGGTTGCACTTCTTTGAGGCGGAGTAATCGCAGACCGCGCATTTATACGGCTTCTCTCCGCCGTGAATCGTCCTGATGTGCTTGAGGAGGACGTACTTGTCTGCGGTCGAGTACCCGCAGTGCCCACACACGAACGGTCTCACACCGGAGTGTTTTGCCATGACGTGGCGCTTCAGACTCTGCGACTGCACAGCGGTGTATTCACAGTTCTGGCAGCGGTGCGGTCTCTCACCGGTGTGAGTTCTGAGGTGCTTTGTCATGGCAGACTTTGCGTCTGTTTCATAGCCACACTGCGGACAGCGGTGTCTCTTACCTCGTGGTTTTTCGCCATCTTTGGAATGTGTCGTCGGGAGACGGTCTATCTTTGGCACCGATCCTTCAATTTCCTGGTACATGAACTTCTGTAGCCTCTCATCAGTTTCAGTCTTGATGACCTGTTCTTGTTTCATCTCTCCACAGTCTGTTTCTAGGCAGTTGTGCTTCTCTCCTCCCTCTTGAAGTTGATTTCTGTCTGCCTCCATCATCTAATAAGAATACAACATTGTAATGTTTGTCAATTTTGTCATAAATGAAAACATTAGTAGACAGTTGGCTAGTAATACAATGGCAGCAATATCATTAGAACTTAGAGTAAGAGCACAGATAATTTAATGTACAACTCAAAGCCTCCCTTCCCCAATCTGAAGGTGTTCTATAAGGTTTATGACAGAACACTGAAGAATTTATCAGAACAGACAAAGAGGGGGCAAATTTTCCAAAATGCGGTGTGTTCTCACGAGTAAGCATTATTGGGCTGAGATAACTATATCTTGATGCATATCTTGACTTTTATGTATACATTGCATTTAAAGTAGAAAAACAAAAGGATTTGCAAACTCCTACAGTACTGATCCCTGTCTAGTGATCTAGGTCTGTTACCATGTTTGTAAGATGGGTGTTTGGTAGCCTTGGTTACGCCAGTATTTGTTTATATTTCCTTTCATAATTGAATTTGGGTTGCTCGGAAACTGACACTGTGTATGCAGGACACCTTCCAGATCAAAGCTCCTGTGTGAAATTGTGTTTTGAATTTTTGGACTGGTCATGCATTCTAATCATGCTAATTGAACATTGTAATCACGATGTGTGTAATTAGTCTATACCGAAGCCTTTGATCTCAGTTGAATTTTTAAAATATCGACAGGGGACTGAACTAGCTGGCCTTTTAAGTCTGTAAAGCGTTGTGTATCTATATATACTAGTACTTATGTGTGTATAGTCACGTGGAGAATATGTAATATGTTATCAAGGGCCCTACTGTACAGCACTGTGTAAAGAAAACAGAAGTTATCAATAAACAACACTGGTCCCCCCAAAATTGCCTGGAGTAGAATATGCCATTTCTAGAACATCAGTCTGGGAGAGACACAACAAGAGGTCCCAGACTAATCAAACTGTTTGTACAACCAGTACCCATATTTGGAGTACAACCCATTGCATCACCATCCGTTCCAGACAAATTGAAAACCTGATTTTTCCCACATTTGTTACGCATGCATAGCCTCAGACTCAGAGGCCTGGAAAGTTATATGTCTGATTCAGGAAAAATCTCTCACACGGCGGACAAAATATACTAGTGGGTGAATAAAGTTTGCAGGAGTGACTAGCAGAGGTCACTAGAGAGCTGTAAGTCACACATACCACACAAGTGAGTACAGACAAATGAAATGGTACCATAACCCAATTCTAGGCCCCTGTTGTATCCGGAGCCAAGCCAGAGCTGTGATTTATCCTGAGCTCCCAGAACCAAGCTCAGGCACGGCTCTGGGTAGTCAACGGGTATCCAGAACCGTGTCTGGGGCAAATTTGCGTTCTTAGATACACGGAGACCATCCAGAACCTCTCTGATCCTAACCCTAACCCAATTTCAAGCACAGAACTAGAGTCGTTTCCCCGTCACGTCTTTTCCCCGTCACGTCTCTTCCCCGTCGGTGTGGATGTTTCCCCGTCAGTGATTATGTCCCCCCAAGTTGTGTTCAATTTAAGATGAAATTATGTTACTATATGTGATTACATGTGATACTTTTTCTTTCTAAAATTGTTATAATGCTATACCGATCTTAAAAATAATATTATGAGACACCGAATCGCGTGTCAGGCCATGTAAACTGCGTACAAAAATCGTAGTGTACACGGCACGGCCGTGCATGAGGCCGCTTTTCCCGATGAATAATACGGCTGAAATGACAGCACATCCACAAATAATTTGATCAAATACTTAATTGCTGGAATCTAAATGTTACTGGGTTCTCCTTAGCGGGAGTTGTTTATTGTTTTGACTGGTAAAACGCAGGGTAAAATACGCTAAAAATTTAGCGTGGGTAAAAAGAAAACCCACGCCGAGGTACACACTTCCGGGTTAAGTGACGACAAAATCACGTCGAAAGTGCTTTAAAAATCCGCATAGAAGTATATATTTTCCCGACAGATTCTGGAAACTGTGCATTTCTTCACTAGAATATCGATGTGTGGTTGTGGAAAATAGCATTTTAGAGCCGATATCGAACAAAGAAAAGTTGTTTACAAGCGCCTCGGCTTGCTCAATTCCACTGCCTGTACGTGCTGCCGGCAGCGCAGCAGACGCAACAACCAATCAGAGATGCGAAATGCGGACATGTGACGCGAGATTTGGGGAGGGCGCGCGGTGCACGAAATATTTTTGCGTCAATATTCAGCGCCGTGTTTCAAGAGATTAATACCGGGAAACATTTTTTTTTGTAACAACATAGTAATTTTGCCGCTTATCTACGACTGAAAACATTAAACATGAGTAATTACAGGTTTGCGATAGCAAAACCTGTTCTATTTTACCTGGATTTTATGGGCGCCGCCATTTTTATTCCCGTCATGCAATGGGGCAGGTCAAAGTTGAGTGAGATGCATTGTGGGACCTGTCACCGGGTTACAGTGTAAGGACGACACCTAGCGGTATGTTTGGAAAGAGCAGTAACTCTAATCCTACCTGGTTGTGTGTTCATTTTGTCAGGAGTGTATAGAGGCGATGGCTTTGACGTAATAAAGGCGAGTCTGATTGTGTTTATCACTTGACGTAATTTTCTTAGCATGACGGGAAGGAAACTTGGCGGACCTAATGCGGCGGAACTTTAAAGTTGTTTTTTTTTATGATGAGATGGTGAGGTTTTGGTATTAGTAGGGTGGTCTTGGGGATCTTGTCGAGGCTGAGCCTAGGGACGACAGATTGTCCTCAAGTACAGGGGTTAGTAGGTGGGATAAGTGGCATGAAGTTTTGGTATTAGTAGGGTGGTCTTGAGGATCTTGTCGAGGCTGAGCCTAGGGACGACAGATTGTCCTCAAGTACAGGGGTTAGTAGGTGGGATAAGTGGCATGGTAGTTTTGGTATTAGGTAGGGGTGGTCTTGAGGATCTTGTCGAGGCTGAGCCTAGGGACGACAGATTGTCCTCAAGTACAGGGTTAGTAGGTGGGATAAGTGGCATGGAGTTTTGGTATTAGTAGGGTGGTCTTGAGGATCTTGTCGAGGCTGAGCCTAGGGACGACAGATTGTCCTCAAGTACAGGGGTTAGTAGGTGGGATAAGTGGCATGGAGTTTTGGTATTAGTAGGGTGGTCTTGAGGATCTTGTCGAGGCCGAGCCTAGGGACGACAGATTGTCCTCAAGTACAGGGTTAGTAAGTGGTAATGGCATGGAGTTTTGGTATTGGTATTAGTAGGGTGGTCTTGAGGATCTTGTCGAGGCTGAGCCTAGGGACGACAGATTGTCCTCAAGTACAGGGTTAGTAAGTGGTAATGGCATGGAGTTTTGGTATTAGTAGGGTGGTCTTGAGGATCTTGTCGAGGCCGAGCCTAGGGACGACAGATTGTCCTCAAGTACAGGGTTAGTACGTTCAGTTGATGAGATGAAGTTGAGGGATGTGATTTTGTCCGTCTGAATATTAAGCATCCTGAAACCTGTCCTGCCTAACATTCATAACAGAATAGTCCTTTTTTTTGTCTGACCTAGGACCTAACTCTAAGAAGTGACTAACTGAGGAATGACACAGAGACTTGCTTTGGTCAAGACTTTTAGACTTGACCTCTGACCTTGCAGTGGGAGACACCTGTACTAGGTCATCTATTACAGCTGTACAGCCAGGGAACTCCTGTTGCATATGATCATTGGATATTGTACAAAAACTATGCAGATGTCCTGCTATAAATACCATACATGCCTCCCTTGTATTTAAGAGATTATTGTATAGCAGTGAATCATTGAACAAATCTTATATGGCCGTTGTACTCGTTAGTTTGATAACTGGAT